GGGCCTCTCACTTGGTCGTGAACACCTTAACTCGTGATCCTTAGGAATGCAGTACAGAGCTCGGATCCAAGCCATATCCCCAGGATTCAAACAACAAAAGGTGGTCCCAAATCGGCGGCCAACCCACGTAGGAAGCTCTATCTCCACACTCAACGGCCTAGCCGCAACCTCTTCAAAATCCTCGGCTACGGTCCCTTGACCCCGACCTCGGGGAAAGATCCCGGCTCAAACTCATAGTGGGAAGCACTAAAACTAGAAGAATCAAAAGAAAAGGAAGAGGAAGAGTGGAAGGACGAGGAAGACATCATACCTAAGTCTTGGAAGCTAGGACCGCAAAACTAAAGCAAACACCGAGCACTGCAAACTACTCCTCATCGAGCTCTCTAAGCAACTTCCTTTGCAAGTGACAAAGGGGAAATGCTCTTCTCCCCTATTTATAGAACCTCAAGCAACCTAGATCAAAGCAAGATTGACAGCAAAGATCAAAACACCGCTCTGACAAGCCTAGGAAGCCCAATCGACACAATTGCTCTTCACATGCGTGAAACCTTGGGAGTTGAAGTGATACTTCTAACAACCCATTTTGGAGATGGTGCAACCATCGACCCTATCGATTCATCACATAGAACCGGTCCAACCAAGTTCTCCGACCCCATCGGCACGCCTAACTGGAATCGGCTTCAAACTCCTCGACTGACAACTGAAAGGTTCTTCCACACCCCGTTACAGTCGGGCACTTCACTCTTTGACTTCGGAACTAGGGGAGTGGTGTTCAGGTTCTGAATTTTCACTTTAAGTTCCTCAGCTGAAGACCGAAGAGCCCTCCCGCAACGTGCCACAGACCAGCATCAGAGGGTGGTGTTTGGGTTTCGAATTTCGACAAGTTCCACGCAGCTCAACCAGACTTCAACTTTGAGTTACTTAGCCAATGACTAAAGCTCTCTTCTGCGTTACACCTCGACCGAGCACTTTACCCCTCGACTTCGGAACTGGGGGAGTGGTATTTGGGTCATGGTCGAGCTGGTTTTGGATGCCACTTGGCTACCCAATCACCTCAGCCACATTACTGCTATGCCGCGGAGCTTGACTCCGCAACCACATCAGTACCAACCCACCTCTCTAGCCCCACCTTATCTCCTCAGCCACAATGATCCCATGACATGCGGATAAGCACAACCAAGATAGGACATAGGATGGGGACAACTCCACTGGGGATTAGGTCTTATCCCGAAGACCTTGGTGGCTAACCTCATCCCAACAACCCCGGAAGCCTCATCTGACCAGGACATGGATCTTCAACTATAAAAAGGTATCTCCCGCTCAAGTTAAGGGATTCAATTCTCAACTTCCACACAACTACTATTGCTCGGATCAGCATTGTTCTCTAATTGCTCGGCCCGATCGCCCACTACCTTCTACTGACTTGAGAATTGGAGTATCTACCTGGGGATAACTCCTCGGGCCTTTGACTGATTTTGTGTTTACAGATCTTGGTGCGTGATTCCGTCCTTCCACCTCGACTCTGCCCAGCTGGCAAGGATCATCTGATTGTAACTTCGATTCTTACACTACCTAGGATCGAGCAACATCAGTACCAAAGATCTCAATGCAATTAGTTATTGAGTGGAGACCGTAATACTAGATTTTCACCCATTTTCCACAAATCAAAAAAAGAAAATTTCAATTGATTGGCTTCAGAATCAGGGGTTTGGATTGCTGACCCGGTTGAAATTGAAGGTACCATAAGACATTATTATTTGAATTTGTTTACTTCTTCTTAGCCTCAATTTGAATCTTTAGACAATAATTTTGTTCCCCATGATATTACTGATGTGGATCGAAAATATTTGAAGCTCTCTTTGTTATTGAGCAGCTAAAGGGTCTACGGCCAGATGGCATATACTTGCACTTTTTTACAAAAAAATGTTGGACAACTATCTTTCCGAGGACTTCATTAATCAGATCAATGGAATTCATGTAGCTCTTACACCTAAAAAAGTGGGCGCGGAAACAACTGATTTTCGCCCTATTGGTTTTTGCAATGTCACGTATAAAGTTGTGGCAACAGGCTTCGAACTATTCTGCCAAGACTAATTACTCCGACTCAAAATGCCTTCGTATTGGGCCGCCATATCACTGATAATAAAATGATTGTTATAGAGGTAGTTCATTGACCGGCACCGTGCATTTTTACCTAAAATAAATCTCTCAAAAACGTATGACCGAATGGAATGGGATTTTCTCTTGCATGTCTTACCAATTTCATGGATTTGATGCTTATTTCTATAATTTTATTTCTTGCTGCCTCTCGACTGTGTCCCTCTCTTTCATTATTAATGGTACTCCTAATTCCATTCTACCACAACGAGGGATTTGTCTAAGGGTGCCCTCTATCACCATATTTGTTCATTCTCGGATTGGATGTTGTTACACTCCTTGGAAACACAGTCACTCCATGGTCGGTCTTTCTTTTTGGTTACAGGATTTGCAAATTGAACCATTTAATGTTAATTTGGACGATGCCATAATATTTGGAAGGAATTCCTCAAATGAAAGCATGCAAAATTAAGGACATTCTACATTTATTTGGGAGTTGGTTTAGACAACAAGTGAATCATTCCAAATCTTCTCTTCTATTTAGTCCAAACATCCATCGACAAACTTAACATACTATTTTAGGCTCTTGGGGTGGTAAGTACGAAGGATGAATGGATGATGAAAAATATCTGGGATGCTTTCTCATAAATCAGCATAAAACTTTTGGTGATGCTCAACTGGTTCTTGAGAAAATCAAATCCGGACTTAATTGGATAGAAAACATGGTATCTCTCTCATGCTACAAGGACTGTTTTGCTTAAGAGTAATGTAGCTGCCATCCCCTTATGGGAACAACACTATTTTCAAAAAATGTTTGTTCTACACTCAACTCTCTACAGGGGGATTTTTGGTGGGCTATGCTGATGATAAAAAACCTTTCTACGGAGAATCATGTGATTTCCTAAGGACCAAGGAGGGCTAGGAGTGAAGAATATAAATAACTATAAAAAACAGAGCTTTGGTGATGTAGTTATGTTGGAGGTTGCTAACTATTGATGGTTTTGTGGGTTCAAATACTAAAAGCAAAATAGTGATACTTAATGAATTCACACTCCTTTTGGTGTATCCCAGCTACAACGGGAGGGTCAACTATTTGGTGTTGTATGCTGAATTGCCGACATGATCTTTGACGTAATGTCCTAATGGTGATTGGCAATGGTTGGAACAAAAATGGCCTATGTGACCCATGGATACCATGGTTTACCCAAGCCCTACTAACCTCGATGACTTACAATTACTATCATCATCGAAAAAGTGGCTGAATTCATAAGTTTTGATCAACACGATTGGAATATTTCTGCAGAGAGGAGAACGAGAGATGGGGGAGGGACTGAAATGGGATCTCAGATATGAGATCACTGAGATGAGAGAGAGAGGGAAACTGAGAGATCTAAGATCATATTTACGGTCGCCATTGCTGTTTGTTACCGTCGCTGCTGTTGCTGCCGTCATCATTGGTGAACCACCTTCTTCTTTTTCCTTTCTTCTTTTTTTTTTTTTTTTTTTTYTTTTTTTTCTCCCTTTTCCTTTTCTTCTTTTCTTTCCTTTCACAGCAAACAATCACCTACTTCTCTGTTCTTATAATATATATGAGTTAGACTATGATATGGAAAATATATGATATCTGAAAAATATCTGACCAATAAACTGGAATCAGAAACATAGTAATGAGTCAGGTGTTATTTATCAAAATTCAGGGTGTGTTTTGATTGGTCAAAACTCTTTCTATATCATATCTTTTCCGCATCATAGATTTTTCCAATATATAATGTTTACCCTAATAAGTCAAATAGATTAAATCACCTGAACTGTTTGTTCCATATGGTTGAACCACTAACCTGAAAACCAATGGTCAAAGCGCTTCTGTTTTTGGCTCAATTTTTAAAACTTTGGTTTTCATTGATGGGCAGAGATGCTCCTAATGCATGGCTGCAATTGTCATGAGGTGGGTGTGAGAATGAAACCTTGAGGAGGAAATCCAAATTTTGTTTATGATTGTATTATGTAAACTACATTTCCTTAGTAGTAAAAAGGGGTAAAGGGACTTAAATATACCTTGAATTTTCATAAATTGACTTAAACGTACAATTAGTTTTGCAATTAGACTTAAGTATACTTTTCCACCGTTACCTTCGACAATTTTACCCTTCATTAAGATGTGAAAGTTGAAATCCTATCTTTATAAAGAAACTCTATCGCCCCTTCTCTAATCCCAGCAATCCTTGGGAAGGTGCACCTTAATAAAAAAAATTGAGACAAGAAATGAACACATTCCTTCTCTATTTATCAAAGACTAGAAATTTACAATGAAAAGAATGAGCCCATTACCCAAGCTTCACCATGCAGTGCCAAATCAAGAATTGAAGAAATAAAATGAAAATTAATGACCTAGGTATGTACCTCATTAAGCCCAAAAGTCGGACCAATCTACAGTTCCCTACCATTTACTTTATGTTTTGTTCATTTTCTCTCAACACCTCCCACTCCTTGAGGATTCTAAACAACGTTTTAAAAAAACAGCCGACAACTAGAACTGCTTTGGCCATTATTTCTAGGTAAGAGGTTCGACTGTTGTAAATTTGTAATTTTAAAAAATACAAAAATAGTCAAAACAAAAAACATTCAGAAAATGTCAAACGAATCAATAATTTATCAAATTTCACCATACCTATCTAATTATAACCATTGGACATGACGGGGACGGACAACGAAAGATAGACCTGTCTGAGGCCCCACCATACATTTATCAAATTCCACGTGTCAATCGTAGCTCTGATTTGTTACCGACTAATAAATACCGCGGCTTTTCCATTTCTCGACGCGGTTTGGTGACATATTGTCTCCATGTCGGTTCCCTTTTATGAGTTTTATCTGTTTAAATATCGGGGCCCATTTAAAGGCGATCTGCCCATACTTTACAAGCGTCCCTCAATTTCAATTCTACGGTAACTCTTCGAAAAAAGAAAAAGGAAAAGAGGCTTGTCTCCTGATCCTACCAAGCAATCACTGAAGCTCAAATCCTCCTCTAATTCTACCGGTAAAGACTATCATCTCGCCAATCTCCTCGCAGAGAAGAAAAAAAATGGTGGTATCATCGACGGCTACAGACTCCAGCGAGAATGTGCAGTCGACATTCGCGTCCAGATATGTGCGCACATCGCTTCCCAGGCGAGTTCTTGAACCTACTGAACTTTTCGTTTCTCTGTGTTTCTTCTTTCGCTTTTTTGGATTTGGATTCTGATGAGGTTGGTGACTGCAGGTTCAAGATGCCGGAGCAGTCGATCCCAAAGGAAGCGGCGTATCAGATCATCAGCGACGAGCTGATGCTGGACGGGAACCCGAGGCTGAACCTGGCCTCCTTTGTGACCACATGGATGGAGCCGGAGTGCGATAAGCTCATCATGGACGCCATCAACAAGAACTACGTCGACATGGACGAGTATCCCGTCACCACTGAGCTTCAGGCAAGTTGCGATTTCTCACCCTCTTGATCTGGAATTCTCTCCTCTATCTGTAATTCTGTATTGTTTAGGGGAAACCTTTTATTCCGTCAACGTTCGACAAAACAGGTTGTCAACAGAGCTCCCCCTGCATGACACGTTACTTCACTGAGAAATGCATCCAGGGAATAACACTCTTTATCCGCCACACATCTCTCAAATCAATTTATAATAGAGATGTGTTGCTGCAATTCACGGCGGATAGAGAGTGAATAGAAAAAGTAAGTTATCCAGGATGGGCTGTTGAGTCACTTGAGTGCGTTTTTGGACCGGACACGTTTACCAATTCACGCCCATCTCTATCCTTTAAGAGAAAGATAAGTGGCCTGGGTGGCAACTATTCGGCAGCGAGGAGCGGAGATGAGTAGGAAGCAAAAGAGAGGGTTGTGGAGATGAAAAAGTAATTGGTTATAAAAATATAACATTTTTTTTTTTATTTTCTTATTGAAACTGTGATAACACCGTCAATGAAAAATGTTAATTGGGAGAATTCACTTGTGTCTGTGCAAGCCGGTGTCTACATCTGTCGAAAAGCCTCTTACAACTTTGCATATCGGGAGTCTCACATAAGTATAGAGATATTACCAAGGTTATAACATTCAACTGTTCAAAGCTGAACTCTAATTCAGAGTGTCCCGGCCACGTGTTGCATGAAAAAGAAAAGTGGGCAGCGAAAATTTCCCATGATTTTCTAATTCAAAGGATCTGTATGTTTTCCATGTGGATGAACCATGAGGTGACACGTGGGAATGACATGTTGTCAATTCGAAGCTGAACTCTGGATGAGTGATGTCTACTCCTAAGCTTAAGCTTTGTTGTAGTGTAATTTTACTTGCTATGATAGTGCATATGATTTGAGTGTGAATTTTGAATTTTTGATTTATTTTTGTTTCAAATTTTATCTATTTTGTTTGATTGTAGTGTAAATGAAGTAAAATAAGATCTAAAGTAAAATAAAGTAAACCTCAAAACAAAATTAAACCAGAATTTGTATTGTTTTCCTTTGCTCTCTTATGCATTAAATAAAATTGCACTGCAATCAAACACAGCCTAACAGCCGTTTTGGATTATTGTCAACCTTATTTTTGTTGATCCTATCTATCTACCTTTCCACTGGCTTAAAAAAAATTTACTATTCTGCTGATTTCATAAAAAGGGTAAATTACAAAGATCCCCCTTTTACCATGCGATTAGTGACAAGTACCCCTAAACTTTACAAAGATCCCTTGAAATTTTACTTTGCCACAAATATTCCTAACTGTTAAGTCAAATGATGGAATGTTTTAAATTACTAAAATGCCAATTTGGACTTTTCTTATTTTCTTTTTCTCGTTCATTTCTTGTAAACTCTATTTGACCAAAAATACCTCCATTTTCTCCAATGAAACCAATTAAATTAACAAGAACCATTTCATTGGCATAGATTTTTTTTTTTTTTAATTCTCGATTCATTTTAATGACATTAAATGTCTCTCTTCATCTTAAAATTATCTATTCCTTTCTCCAAAAAATCAAGAAAAACCATAAATTTGTTTCTATAAGAAAGAAACCTCTAGCATTTCATTTGAATATTGAATCCAATAAAAAATCTACAAGGATCTATTGGAGCAACCTAGTCTACCTAGAGGATTTTAATGTTATACTTAGAAAATTAATCGAATTATAAATCATTTAAATAAATAAGACAAGGGTAATTTGGGGATTCAAAAAATTTTAAATAGCTAAATAAGAATATTTTCGATGTTAATTGACAGAAATCTAATGAAAAAGGGGTATTTGTTACAAAGTGAAAGTTCAAGAGGTTTTTGTCACAAATGAAAGTTTAGGGGGTATTTGTCATTGATCTCATAGCGTAGGGGGGTCTTCGTAATTTACGAAATATATATTTTATTTATGTATGACCAAATAATAGGGGTTGCAGGTTTGGCCGAGTTAGGTTGGGTTGAAGTTAACCCTAACCAGCCCGAGTTGTTGAACCCACAACTCTAACCCGAGTTTGGATCTGGTCCTAATACAGTGTCCCAACAACCATTGCAGTTGTGCATTGGAAACATCTCCCTTGTCATGGCAAGATGTTCCCATGTATAGTCGCATGGCGAGATGATCCCATGTACATATGCAATTGCTGTTCAAACCAGTTTCAAGGGAGATGTTCCCAATGCGCAGCTGCAATGGCTGTTGGGACCAGATCTGAATTCAACTCTAACCCAATGCAAAGTTGACATCAGGTTGGGTTCTGGCCATAGTTTTTACTCATGTTCTTATTGTCCTAGCTAGCCTCAAGGGTTGAGGTCAACTCATTTTTAGCAATATTATATACGGAAGGATATATTTATCATGGTTTAGCAAATTTTTTCTTTCAAACTTAAAATTATTTCCATTCATAATGCATATGTACATATATATACATAAATATACATAAATGGAGAGATGCATTCATACATACACACACACATCACACAGGTATTACATAATTTTTTTTTCAAGGGGATACATACAACACATGCCTACTTACATGTATACATACATTAGTACAGATATAAATTGAAGTTAGGCCAAACCCAACCCAGCCTCTTGAACATGAAGCCAGGTTCATACTTTTCGACCTGAACTTCAACCCAACCTGACTTTTTTTGGGCTGGGTTTGAGCTAACCTGACCCATTGCATCCCTACCAACAGTAGTCCTAGAAGCAGTAGCTGGTACATTTGGTTAAATAAGAGATTTTTGGAGACCAAAATACCCTTATTACAATCTCTTCAAGTCATGAGCTTTCTTTTTGAGCCCATCAGTTATGCACATGTAGGGTGTATATCAGTGAGCGTGCTCTCTGTTCATCTGGTTGTTCATGATTGTGGGTGCAAGTTGGGTACAAGGAGAGTGACTAGTAGACCTGTTTCATGGGCTGGGTAGCCCGATGGCCTGGCCCACACCACAGTTGGGATTGGGCATGTAGTTAGGCCCGTGGGCCTAACCTTGGGCCCAAAACACCAAGCCCGATTGTGTTTCGGTCTGGGCTTGGGATTTGTCAAAAAATCTTGGCCTGAGCCCGACCTGGCCTGACTAATTTATATAATATAAAATATATAATATTTATTATAATATATATTAATAATTTAATATATACATTTTTAATTTTTTTCTTTATAATTTCTCTCTCTCTCTCTCTCTGTTCAGTGATAGCAGCGACAACAAGTTGAGCTTTAGACTTTGGGCTCAGGCTTCAGGGTTTTTTTATGAGGACTGGGCTTGGTCCCAAGTTGTAGGCCCAATGGTCAGGCCAGGCTCGGGGTTGGGCCTTAAAAAAAGTCTGTTAATGAAGAGTGAAAGCCTGGCTCGGCCCGGCCCATGAGCAAGTCTAGTGACTAGTAGTCACTCCAAAGAGGGGAAAAAAACTAACTGTAACTCCCAAAAAGACCCTATATGAAAAAGATCCCAATAAAACGGACCACAGAAGCCCAATAACCCAATTATCTAGCTAAAACAAGACTTGCCACATTAACGAAATCCATAAAACAAATCAACCAAAAGGCCCAAAAGCAAGCTGAACACAGCCATATTTCAACCCAAGAACCAGACTCAAACCTCACTCACTTAGAGTCGGTGCAGCACTGGTGAAAACAGAACACCCTCCAAATCTATTACTTCTTTGATGTTCTTTTAATATCTTCTTGTTGGGTCCAATACCAAAGAAACTCCCTTTTGGTATAGCACATACATTTGAAACCAAATATCTTGATGCTTTCTCTGTTTTCTGTCTTTTAACTGCTAAAGTATCCTTCCCAAGCTTCAATGAACATTGATCCTCCCCAGTTTCAAAACAGAGGTTTTCTCAAAAAACTGAGCACCATCCACCTCTGCAATTTTTCAATGTCATCTTCTTCAGTTCTATCTGATCTCAAAATGTTGTGGCCGTCATCCGACAATGAGGGACTTTCTTGTCTATCCTCAACAACCTCCTACACGGGCAATGTATAATTGTTTTCAAATTCTATTAACATCCTTCTAGTATATTCTTCTCCCCTCCAATACAAGAATAGCCAATGCTTTATTAACTATCACTCCTGCATTTACTATCTTTTCCATATCAACCAATTTTTCAATAACCTGGGTTTTCATCTATTGTAATTTCTTCTTCTAAATCAGAAACCTTTTCTTCCTTCCTTTCATTTCTTTCTCCCTTCTCCTTTTCAAAGACAGCTTCATCCTCCTCCTGTAGTGGTCTTGTTCTATTTTCTCTTCTCTTGATGACCTTTGGAAAAGGTCTTGCTAAATCTTTCTCATTTTCTCCAACCATTCTTTCCATGCTCCTCTCCAAATCTAGGTGCTGATCAAGGAATGTTGGGTGGCAAAGGGAATGTTGGGCCACCATAATAGCATAAGATTCTTACCTGTTACATATTCAGAATCAGGATCCACCAGATTAGTAACCGAGTCTGACTATATATATATATATATATTTGCCTATTTGGTAGAAAGTAGAAAGAACATTTCATTGAGAGCAGCAAAATGGAAGCAGAACAACACCACCAAACAGAATCAGAGACTCAAAAGAAAGAAACAAAACAAAAACAGAGCAGAAAACACCTGAAACCATGGTTTTTAAAACTGACCCGGTGACTGAACCGGTCAGGGGTCCGGTTACTGGGTTGAATGGTCCGACTGTTTGAACCGAATGCTTGGCCCGTTCTGACAAATAAATAAATAAAAAACGGTTAAAACCGTTCGAACGGTTAACCGTCCGGTCTGGTCCGGTTTTGAAAACCATGCCTGAAACAGATAGAAGAAAGGAACATAACAAAAAAAAAAAAAAACAGAAATTGACTACAACAACTAGAGCACTTGACTGTTTAGGTCGAAACACATTTGGCATTGCAACCTAACTATTTTCCATAAGAAAATTGAAACGAGTAAAGCAAAAAGCATGTGAGTGAGATTAGAGCATGGCATCTAGTCATACATGGGGAGCATCTCCCCTGATGTGCAGCTGTATGCATTATGCAATGCTCTCATGTTATCATGCCTTTGCTTTCAGCAGATCTGGGCTCAAGAAAAATCTGTCTATTTTACTTTTGTTTTGTTTGGATGGTGCAAAACATTTATTAATGATTTGAAAGACAAAATGCTAAAAATGGGCAGCCAGAAATCTTGATTTTTGGTTGGGATCTCTTTTTAACTGGGGCTTATTGGAGGGATTTTTGAACTATGGACAAGTACAGTGTTATGGATGGATGGTTGCTTACGCTGCCCAATCATCAGATTTCTGCCTTTCCTGGGGCATGATATATCAATAATAAAAATGATAAAAAAGTTTTCGGGGTTTGATCTTGATATTACATGCAGGTTACGTTACCTGAGTTTGGTGTGGCTCGGGCCCATATGGCCCCAAATATAATGAGCCCATGATGTTGATCCTATATGCAAACAGATCTCACTGCACCTATGGTTTTAGCTTTGGATTATAACCGTGAATCACTGCCTGGTGACTGGATGGACTGGAGACAAAACCATGCAGTGGTGTGGGCAACCTGTCACGAGTGAACACGTCAGTGTTCTGTACACGTGAGGCATGCATGGACCAACATCTTATGGGTACAAGATACTGGTGTCTTCAATCATGATTGGTTGCCAAATCCACTGTTTATTAGTCTGCACCATCATAACCGTCTATAAATGGGATTTAGATAGGGAAATGATCCAACAAACCTTTTAACAAGTCTATTGTTGTTAATGTGGCATTTCTATTTCCCATTTGTCTAAATGGTTATGAACTTGTGATCATCTGCACAAGCTCAATTTTCGCTTCCTTCAGTCAATCGGTGTTTCAATATTTGTATATGGTTTCATATATAGAATCTCACATTCACATTATAACCTCTTGATCAAGGGGTTTAGAATGAATTTTGAGGTTATCTTATAAAATTCTCACATTCAAATTATAACTAATTGAGAAATGAACTAAAATCATGAAGTGTTGCTTAGTAAAGTATGCATTTATCTTATTGCATTGTGTTGCCATGTTTCAAAACCTTTATGCTGCATTTCCAATTAGTTTCTGATCATAATTAATTGGTCTTGACAGAATCGATGTGTAAATATGATAGCCCACCTCTTCCATGCCCCAATAGGAGAGGAAGAAATAGCCATTGGAGTGGGAACAATAGGGTCCTCAGAGGCAATAATGCTGGCAGGACTAGCCTTCAAGAGGAAGTGGCAGAACAAGAGGAAAGCTGAGGGAAAACCCTACGATAAGCCAAACATTGTTACTGGTGCCAATGTGCAGGTATGATTTATTGTTTCATATGAAACATCTAAACTAGCTCTTGAGGCATAGTATGAATCTTGAACACTGGAATTTTATCTTGCATTAATAGGAGTATGGATTTTCAAATTCCAAACAGTTGTACACACCACAAACATTCATATATAGGAACATTTTTTCTAGAGGAGTCAGCGAGACAAAAGTCTAAACTCTAAAGAACTAGAATTCTTCCAGTACCCTTTAAGCATGGTATGAGGCTCAAGAAAACCCATTTCATTGCCTCCTGTTTAAGTTAAACTCCAATCCTTGGGCACTTAGAATCAAACTGAATCTTTTGACAGCTCGTATCTTGAAGGGAACTCCAATGAAACAGATAACCCTAAAAACAGGTGTTATTTATCTCTGTTGGAGTCATGTTTATTGACTTTTCAGTGTTGCATTTGTTTGTTTGTTTTAGAGAATAAAAACCTACCAAGAGACCTCACCTAACAGCTTAAGCTTTTAGGTTGAACAGCTCCTTGATATTGTATCAGAGCTTGTTTGACCAAGTTGTCCAGTTTGTGATCCACACTGCCCTTATTATAATTAAATTTCAGCACAAGGTATGGATGGGACTGTGCTTGTCCATGCTTCAAGCCTAATAGGCTTTCGCATGAGGGGGCATAAATAAAAACTTATTTAGGGACCTCACTTAACAGATTAAGTATGATTTGTACTTTTATGATCTGATACAAAATTTGTATATTTTCTTTTGTTTCATTTGCATTTACTGGCACTTCACATTTTCGTATCCCAAATTTAAAATTGATGCAAAATTTGCACCACCTTCCTCCTACCACAATTCTCTTTCATGTCAAGTGAGGACTAAATTTTTCTCCTACCTCACTCCTAAACAAATAACCTTCCTCTTGCCTCCATCCTTTCATATAAAAGTTGGGACCATATCATTTACTTCTCACAAACAAATAAGCCAAAGCAAAATCTGAAGCAAAAGTAAACAAGAATTTATACTTGCATTCACATGCATTGACACACGTGACAATGTTCAAATAGCAAACAAATGGAACCTTAAAAGAGAAAGAACTCCAGAATCCTAAAATGATCTAGACACCTAGACACTGATTTCTGAAACTGTACTAGCAGATTGTCTATTTTACCCAAGAGATATGTCAAGTGGGGATTGCCTTAAATGATGACTAGTTTCCCCTACTTGTATCTACATTTACTATTGCCCATCAGATCAAAAGTATTCTGTCATACTTTTGTAATTATTTGAATAAAAGTCCATGATCCTGAAATGATCCAAATATCGAAATGTCTACTTGCCTATAGATTGGTTTCCTTAACCTAAGAGATATCCTAGATGGGGAAACCACAAATGGTGACTTCTGCTGCCCTCATTTACATCTCTTGTTTAGTTTATAACTGCTTAATTAAATCTCCCTTTCTCAGTGATCCAATTATTCCTTATGCAGGTTTGCTGGGAGAAATTTGCAAGGTACTTTGAGGTGGAACTGAAAGAGGTGAAGCTAAGGGAAGGCTTCTATGTGATGGACCCAGTGAAAGCAGTAGAGATGGTTGATGAGAATACCATATGTGTGGCAGCAATATTGGGCTCGACACTTACAGGGGAGTTTGAAGATGTCAAATTTTTGAATGATCTCCTTACTAAGAAGAATAAGGAAACTGGTTGGGATACTCCGATCCATGTTGATGCTGCTAGTGGTGGATTCATAGCTCCATTCTTATACCCGGAACTTGAGTGGGATTTCAGACTGCCACTGGTTAAGAGTATCAATGTCAGTGGGCACAAGTATGGCCTTGTCTATGCTGGTGTGGGATGGGTTGTTTGGAGGACTAAAGATGATTTGCCAGAAGAGCTTATCTTCCACATAAATTATCTTGGGGCTGATCAACCCACTTTTACTCTCAACTTCTCGAAAGGTAATTTATTTGTTTATTGCAAGGTTTTGGTGATATTAGGGTCCATTACTTGGTTTAATGGTAAAATCTTGGGCTGTCATGCGTGAGAAAGCAGGTTTGAGTCTAAGGGTGAAAACTTAATGCAAAAATATGCCAAAGGTTAGGACTGTACCCAGTCTACCCTTCCCAAGACCACAAATAACATGGACCACCATTGGATACCGAACATGTTCTGTTCCATAGTTTTACTTTGTGTTTCCTAAAGGATAGGTAATAAATGATTTTAGCACATAATGTTTGGCTACTAATACAATTTACATGTGATGAACCTCTGAGTTGAAGGGGCAAACTGTACTTTATATGAGGCCAAGTAGGTATGAAGTTGAAATGTTGAGTGGGCCATACACAGTTTGGCGTTTAGCATTAGGATTGTCTGCTGATCATTCATTTAGTGCAAGGGCCAAGGTGTTTATGCTCATTACCACCCTTTAATCATAAATATTCACGTGCTGGATGACTAAAAGTATTTGATCAGTCAACTGGTTTTGGCTTATCAATTTCGATTATCCCAATACAAGAAAAAAAATTCTGGTATCCCAAGTACAAACATATTATTTATATTGCAGTTATATTGGATTATCTTCTTGAAGTACTAATCCCCAGTTTTAGTGGCAATTTAATAGCTTAGAGAAGTATTAATTGTAGTCTTTTTCTTGACAGGCTCCAGTCAAATAATTGCTCAATATTATCAGTTAATCCGTTTGGGGTTTGAGGTAATTTTTGTTAACTTTACTTTTTATCTCAATGTAAGAAGAGATTCCAATTTTTCTAACATGAAGGGGATTGTGTCTCCACTAAGGGGAATTATGTTTGGTGTTTTTTTTTTACAGCACAATATACCAAGTGTCTGTGCTTTCAATATATAGATAGATTGATAGATAGATAGAGTGTGTACTCTAAAAGGATTTGAAAGAATTAGTAAAGGATATTTTATCCATACTAGTAAATGAAGGCTTTAAGGTAGGGCAACAATGAATGACATATTGATCATGATCAACTTTGATTCAAGGATTGATAAACCGGTTCACACCTAAGTGAATAAGGAAGATGGAACATCTCCATATATTCAATTACAAAGTTCTCCTCTTGTATAGCACTAGGCTCTTTTTGTTCCTAGTGAAGATGCAACTATATGAAGAAGAGGACAAAATGGAATGGAGACTTATCTCTAAAATACTGATTTTAAGAGAAACAGTTTTCAAAAATAGAAACAAAATCTAGGGTAAAACCATAACTTAGTCATAACTTAAATTCACAACTTCTAAAAGTTCTAAAAACACATCCTAATTTGGAATGATCCCTATTGCAGTATAGTCTTACTTTCTTTTGGTGTTTAGTCATAATTTGGAATTGTCACAATTGTATTTATAGAGAACCCCACTAGTTGAACCAATAGGTTCCAATACACAAGACGTGCGTTTTACTAGATTACTTTGTTGGTTGAACAAATATGGTAGGGATGCAATTTGAGTGAGTTGGGTTGGGTTTAGGGTCAGCCCAAGCCCAACCTTAAGTCTTTGGTCTATGGCCTGAGAGAGGACCAAATTCAAGGTCAGGCCTGATGTGCCCAACCCAAGCCCAGCTTGAACTGAGATTTGACACAGTCAGGTTGGGCTTGGACCTGGGCAAAGCTCAGGTTGACCAATCAGGCTCAAGTTGGCATATTAGGCCTTATGCACTAAAAATTCCCATAAACCTATTTAACGTCAGAAATTTAAATCATTAAATAAGAATATTGCATATTTCTTTTTATATATGTGCATGCATGTATTTGTAGTTTGGCTGGTTTCTGGTTCTGCTGAATCGAGCTATTACCTTAGCACTAGCCCGAGCCCAACTTGAAAAAAACCGGGGTTTTCTGTCCAGCCCTAGCCCAAGGACTAAAAATCCAACCCTAGTCTATTTAAAATTTCAGCCTGGGCTGTTCTGAGCTTGGGTTAGACATGCCTAAATTGTGTGCCTAGCTACCTGGAAGACTAGCTAGAGCAAAAATCAACCTGGTTGGACGACAGTAATATTCACTTTTGTGGGATTATTTGGGAGTTTATTTGTTCATTTTTATCAATGTTTTTCTGTCTCACTTGGATCGATCAGGTTTGTGATGTTTATTTCTTTGTCAAGACCTAACAAGCAGCTGGACCTACTATGCCAGTCCCTTAACTGAGAATTTTATGCTAATCCATTATCTTATTTTCCTTTTCAATGGGAAAGAATATTATTAATACACATTTGCCAATTTTGTGAAGGGTTACAAGAACGTTATGGAAAATTGCATGGAGAATGCGAAGGTGTTGAGGGAAGGGATAGAAAAGATGGGTCGGTTTGATGTGGTCTCCAAGGATGTGGGTGTACCACTAGTTGCCTTTGCTCTTAAAGATTGCAGCAAGCACACGGTCTTTGAAATATCAGAAAGTTTGAGAAGGTTTGGATGGATCGTCCCAGCATACACAATGCCTCCTGATGCACAACACATTGCTGTCCTCCGAGTGGTGATTAGAGAGGATTTCGGTAGAAGCCTTGCGGTGCGGCTAATTGCTGATATAGAGAAGGTTTTGAAGGAGTTAGACTCTTTGCCAAGCAGGGTGCAGCCTCGAGTTGAAACAAAAGATGGCAATGGAGGTGGACATGCAAATAAAAAGAGTGAGAGAGAGATGCAAGAGGAGATAACGACTTATTGGAGGAATCTGGTGACTGGCAAAAAGACCAACGGAGTTTGCTAAACTTGTCTCTTTCATCTAAAACAGACCAAGAGTTTGTCTTGTACTCCCCATATGGTTTAAATAATTTGTATTATGTGAAGTTGTAAGTATAATTGCTAAATATTGTTACTTGGGCTTGGAGAATTTTACTTGCTTTTGACAGATTACCTTTTGCACCGGATATGGTCCATATAAGAAATACCTCAAAAACCTTATAGTTTATAATGTATTTGGGGCTTTTTGAATCTGGGTTTATGTTTTAACAAGCTTTGTCTATTCCATACTTAAAGAGTGACTACAATTCTCTGTTGAGAAAATGTTCATCATTAATTGAACCTGGTTGAGATGTAATCATTCATTTTTTTGGATCGGAGATGAATAATGAGTTGTATGAAATGATGGAAAACGCAATTTTGGAGATGATTCACCAACAACACTACAGTGTGTATGCTAATTCAGGATTTTCCTTCTAATGTTGTGGTAGAGCGTGCCCTTTTGAAATTTCAAGCTGGGTTTGTTTATGTTTGATTTGGATCTTTTTATCCATGAATATTCAGCCACAATTTCTGCAATTTACCAATCCATATCAGGCCTTCTCCAGTGAATTTATAAAATTCTAACACATTAGCATGTCAATTTTCAGACTTGGAGGTTCAGGACTACGAGAAAATGTGACAAGAAAACATATATGCAACGTAACCAAATACCTCAACTCCTCTGATTCTTTTACCTTTTTTTTGTAGGCAGAACAGATAAATAAAAATAAATCAAAGAAATTAAGTACATCATCAGGAGACATCAAAACAGAAAAATACCTCTAACTACATGATGAGGGTCGATTTGGTCCGTTCAATGAGATGATATTACTTGGAGCGACGTAATGACTAAGTGACATCTCAGCATCCTCAGTCACCTTAGCACTCTAAGTCACCTTGGGTCATTAAGTATCGGGCCCGAGCAGCTCGTCACACTCATCGACCTACTGAGATACCACATAGCCTTCTTTTACAAGTGAGCTAGCAGTCTTCGATATCTTTGGGATCACACCACATGCCGACGGACCTTATCTCTATCTCGCCTGAATTGGACAGATTTAGATAAGTTTTATCAGCTTACATGAAGTCCATCTTCAGGTGTGGAATGGATTCTGAGTTAGGCAGGCTGGTGATCTCGGACATGCTTCGTGAGGCTCACGCCAGATCGCCTATATAAAGGCATCACCTCTAGCCTCACAAGGTACGCATGATTTATCTCTCACAGTGTACTATTCTAAGCAATCAGCTCTCACGAATCTCCAATGCTAACTTAAGCATCAGAGTGCCCACACCGGGTAAAGTACCCTAGGACCTCTGATCTCTCTTCTTTGTAGTTTGACCCGGCCACATAGTTGTTTGAAGTCCGAATTGCCTTCCAGTAGGGAGCCACTAGATCACGCTACATCAATTGATGTTGTTTGTAGGAACCGCAACAAAAAGTCATAATCCCACCATCTTTATTTCTTACTCCTCATTGACCTAATGGCATCTTCAAGCAACAACCAGCTCGACAACATCAACAACCAGGTCACAGGGGGGCAGGAGCAGCCTGCAGCACACCCCAAAGTCCCATCTATGATCATCGAGCAGTTTACAATGCCATTAACCCTACCCGGTGTGCCTACAATGTCAAACCCGACCATCCCTCTACACCAGGTGAACGTGCCTCTCACTCCGGTAGAGCCATTAGTGGTTTCCATAGGGATCGATGTGTGCTAGTTTCATGAGTTGGTGCAGTATGTCCGTGGTATGAACTTCCAGATGCAGACATGGGAGGAGAGGTTTGCCGCCTTCATGTAGCAGCCACATTAGTCATAGTAGCCGCAACAACCAAACTTGAACCAGCAGCAGAACCAATAGATTCAGAACTAGCACCAGCAGCCAGGCGACCAACAACCCGACACTAGAAACTAGGACCAGGCCCTGGATCCACCTTGTCACCCTAACAACTGGAACCAGGTCCCAATTGAGGAAAACAATATAGCAATGACACCTATTGGAACAAAAGGTAACAACACCACCGAGGTGTCGAGGAGAAGACGTCGTCGACGTGCACGTTGCCATTCAGGGAGAAGCCACCTTGCTCTCACTAATAACAAGGAGGCAGAGAAGAAAGGGGATGTCAGTCAAGTCATCATACAACCAGCAGCACCATAGGTGACCCAACCTCCCCGTTAGCAGTAGAGATCCTTACGACCCCACAACCTAAGGACTTCAAAGCCCCGAACCTAGAGTCGTATGATGGTACATCGGATCCAGTTGACCATATCGAAATATTCTAGGCCATGATGCAGCTTCATGAGGTGAACGATACAAGCCTCTGCATGGCCTTCTCGATGACTTTTTGAGGTACAACTTAGATGTGGTACTCGGGACTTAGCCGCAGTCTCAATTAAGAGTTAGAACCAGCTCACGGACCTGTTTACCATGCACTCCACCACCAGCAAGAGGTGCCTTAATTCCACGACCTACTTACTGAATGTGCTCCAGCAACCTAATGAGACACTCTAGGATTACATAAAAAGGTTCAATTTTGAGTTTCTCCAGATCCCTAACCTCGACCCCACAGTTTAGCTCACCATAGAGGTAAACAACGTCCGCTAGGTCGACAAGTTCACAAAGGCGGGGGAGGTGTTGGAATCCCGATTAGAGCTGTCCGGGAAGAGAAAGAGAGTAGAAGTAGGGAGCAACAAGCAACGACGAAAGAGAAAGTCACTGAAAAGAAGCCGGTCACCGCACAATAGGCAAAGCAGATCACCAAGAAGAAAGAATTGGTCTCCTTGGTCCTTTCCCACCGGTGACCGGGCAGAGAAGGTTCTTGGTCGTGGCGGTTAACTCTTTCATGAAGTGGGTGGAGGCCGAGCCATTGGTGACAATCATAGTTCGAAACATCCAGAATTTCTTTTGGAAGAACATAGTATGCAGAGTTGGACTCCCGAAGGTGTTGATATCTGACAACGGGAGTAGTTCGAGGACATAATGTTCCAAAATTGGTGTACTAAGATGGGGATCTAGTAGAACTTCACTTTGGTGGCTAATCCACAAGTAAATAGATAGGCTGAAGTGATGAACAAGGCAATCCTCCACAGACTCAAAGATCAGCTTTCTTGAGCTAAGGGTTTGTGGGTAGACAAGTTGCCCAACGTCCTTTGGGCCTATCAGACTACGATTAAAACTATGACCGGAGAGATCCCATTCAACCTGACATATGGAACGAAGGCCGTCATCCCAGAGAGATCCCATTCACTAAGTATAGAAGACCATCTGCCTTGGTGACTTGGTTGAGCTGCCCTGCATAAAGCACACGATGGCTATGTTACACCTTGAAGGGGACGCCAAGTCGCTTTAAGCCTAAAAGGCCCCCAATGTAGACCTAGTAATGACCTCGACAGTATGATAAACCCTAGTCGCTTCGGCATATAGACAGTCCGAGTATATCTTATATTATGCCTAGTTGGCACATAGGCAGTTTGGGTTATATCCCATACTATGCCTAGTTGTCTCGACGTACAACAATCTTGAGTTAATCCCATACTATGCCTAGTCACTTCGGAAACTAAGGCACCTCGGGATAATCCTACACTTAGTCTATTTTTTGAAGTCTTAGGTTCAAGAGAAATAAGGAATATGAACACAAGGTGATCAAAATAAACTTTCATTTATTGCAGCTAACGAATTATCACATCGATGTCATAAAAAAAAGATGAAAAGAAGACAAGTTCTTTAGACCGAGCTCGGAGGCTCGCCACGTTACATATGTGCAGGGGGTCCATGAAAAGAGGCAACAAGTATTAGACATTTTGGGGCTCCTCGTCCCCATCACCAACTCCACCAGTAGTGTCCTCCTTGGCAACGTCTCCCTTAGCAGAAACCTCTCCAATAACAAGCTCTTCGGCTTCCTCCTCAGTAGCTTCCTCGTCGGCCTCATCCTCCTCAGAATTTGGCCTCAGATGGACCGGGTTGAACATTTCGTTGGTGTAGGCTAAGGATTTGATAGGCATGAGGTTACGCTCGGGGTACACCGACTACACTAGCATTCGATAGAGTTTGAAGCCTTGATGAAAGGCCATAGTACCAAAGTCCTACTTCTCCTGCAACCAACTTGGCGAGACCTTGAGTTCCTTGATGACTTGAGTCTTGGTAGCCTGGACCTCGGGCTCAGCGAAGTGTGCCTCCTTCTCTTGAAGCATTTTTTGAAGCTTTGCGACGTTGACCTCCAGCTCCTTGACGTGGTTTCTCTCACCCGTTAGCTCATTCTTTAGCTGGCCGATGAGGTCGACAGCTCTCTCCACCTGGGATTGATACTCGTTAGCTGTGACCTCGACATTGTCGGCCTTTACCAAGTGAAGTTCAGATTGCTTCACCAGAGAGTGGACTATGGAGTTCGTCGGCAAGAAAAGAAAAGGAAATGTACCAAGTACAAAGAAGTAGCCCGTGAACAACACAACGAAGAGTTTGGAAGCTTACTATCATGAGACAACACATTGCTTTGGTGTCGAGTTTAGCACACTGCATGTCAAACATATCAGAGACCTCCTCAAGGAAGATGGCCTCCTTGCTCTTGATCAAGGCAATCTTATAGTCCATGATGGACGCCTCTCCTTAGGAGCCTCCTCAGTTGTTGGAGCCCTAGGTTGTAGAGGGCGTGCCTCGAACGTTTGGGCCACCTCGTTTTCTTGTGCAGTCCCTTCCGCCTAGTCTTCCTCAACTAGGTTGACTACTAGGACCTCATCTGCTACGGCTGATACAATGGGCTCGGGATTGGATGCTCGACGTGCGTCCTTATGACACACCCTCCTCCTCTTCTTCTTCCTCATGTCCTAAAGGAACCCTGAAGTTGCAACACTTGACATGTCACCCACACAAGAAGACATAGAGTTCATAAAATCAACATGAAGCAAAGAATATGAACACTTGAACCTGAGGCGATGACCTACCCTTCTCGGTCAAGTAGTTGCTCAGCTTCAGCTTGTGCTTTGCCAGGTTTTGCATCTTGGCCTGCATTTGCTCGCTCAACTCTTCCTCAACATCCTTTACCCCTCTGTCCAATGCATCGGGAAAGGCCACCCACCACTAGCTAGGGTGATGAAGAAATACTTGCTTTTCCAGGCCAGGACCTTAGAGGGGAAGTCGTGAAGAAGCTTGTACCCGGACTAGTAAGACAAGTAGTATCTGAACTTGTCTAGTGTGTTGGCAGGGTTTTGCTTGATTTGGTAGAGGGCAATGAAGGTTTTGATGTCAAGAGAAAGACTTAGGTCAAAGAAATGGGAAATCTTACCGAATAGGGTACGGATAGAGTTTGGGTGTAGTTGACTAAGGCAGATGTCATAGAAGTTTAAGACTTTGGGGATGAAGGGGTGAAGAGGGAAGCGAAGACCAGTCTTCAAGGCCTCCTCGAAAATCGTGACCTTGCTCTCCTTGTTCTCCCAAGGAAATGCCACGTTAGGAAGGGAATAACTGAATGTGTCCAAGATTTTATACTGAGCTGCCAAATAGTAAATATCGTTGGCAGTCAGTTGGGTGGAACCAAAGTAGTCTAGTAGTCTAGGCCTAGGTACCCGATGGGATGATGAGGCTCTTTTGTGGGAGCCACGTTGGTTTTGGATTGAGGTTCCCTCCTTGGCCTGACTAGACTGAATCCTCTCCCCTCTAGACTTGCTACTTGATTGGATAGAACGCAAATAAAGGAAATGAAAAGAGAGCTCAAATGCATGAGAGAAAGATCGACCTAACAACACCAAAGACACCAACGACACCGACGACAACACACTCTGCGACCTCTAAATGCACAAGAGCTCAAAAATGGGACGAAGAAAATGGGTCTCTAGGGGCCCTATTTATAACCTCCTTAACCGATCGTGGATAATCAAGATTGAGATGATCCAACAGCTCCCAAGGGTGTGATGGTTCGTATTTAGAGGTCGAATTTAGTTGAATGCATTTTTTATGTCCGTGTAGCTTAATGTCTATGTTACGTACGTGCCTGCTCGGGACGTGACCTTGCCTCCTTAGGTTGAAACAGTTGTCTCGCTCAGGTCGGACCAGTGGTCTATCTTAGGATGAATTGAAAATCAGGCCAAACCCCTTTTTCTACTAAGAAATTACTTCCGCCCCGAGTTCGCTATGTCAGGCTTAGGAGTAGGGGCAATTGATGAGGGTTGATTTGGCTCATTGAATGATAGGATGACACGTGAAGTGACATAATGACTAGGCAACATCTCAACATCCTCGAATACCTCAGGCACCTTGGGTCATTCAGCCAGTACCTGGGCTTGATCAGCTCGCCACACTCACCAACTTGATGAGGTACCACGTACCCTTCTAGAAGCAAGCCAGTGGTCTCCGATATCCTTGGGATCATGCTACATGCCAATGGACCCTATCTCTATTCCGCCCAAATAGGATGGATCTGATAAGCCTTATCAGCTTACACGGAGTCCATCTTTGGGTGTGGAATGGACTCCCTATTAGGCGGGCCGGTGATCTCGGACACGCTTTGTGAGGCCCACATCAACTCACCTATATAAAGGCATCACCTCCAGCCTCACAAGGTATGCACAATTTTTCTCTTGCAATTTACTATTCTAAGCTATTAGCTCTCTCACAGATCTCCCATGCTAACTTAAGAATCAAAGTATCCACACTGAATAAAGTACCCCGGGACCTATAATCCCTCTTCTTTGCAGTTCGACCCGGCCACGTAACAATCCGAAATCTGCACTACCTTCCAACATGAAGCAATTTTATCTGCATCACTGCTCTGATTCTTGTCCTCTGCTTTATAACAAAATTCATGTTTGTGTTCATCAGGTGTGAAGTACATAAGATAGAACTTGTCGATTAACATTCAGATCTTTCTAAGAGATGATCCCTAGACTTTAAAGTAATAATACTGAATTGAAAGCTTGCCTAACTGATGTACAATTAGCAATGCCCTTTTCGGTCTATCCCCTTCCACCTTGTAACAAGGGTGCTGTTGATGGATGGACTTTTCTCATATTACTCTATTTTTGCTCCTTTTATAACCTATTTGTAAGAATGAGTTCATTTTTGATCCTATATTTTTTTTTTATTTTTTTCTACTTGTAACTTGTAAGACAATGGGGATACAAAAGCATACTGATTTGGCTGGATCGGTCTGAATCCAAGTTAGACCAAACCACCTTTAAACCATTAATCGAGAGACATTTTCATTCAAAAAGGTGGAATGTTCTAAAACAAAAGTTCAGAGCATTCCAAATTAACAACTAAAGGTATGTGCATTAATTAAGCATTAGAACATTCCAAAATAATTAAGGGTAAAATGGGAAAGATAAAACTATAAAAGTATATAATAAAAAATTATAAATATATATAAAATATTATATTTTAAAGTATAAATAATATATCATATATTATAAATATATATTTATATATAATGCATATTTATTAATTTATAATATAAAAAATAAAAAATATATTATATACATAAATATATATAAAAATATATGTATATCGGTCGGTTTGATTAGCTGCCAATTTTCTATATTAGTTAACCGAAACCGAATCAGTACCTTTGTTTTTTTTAAACATCGAACCAATCGATTTGTTTAATTGATTTTTCAGTTCGGTTTTGATCAATTTTTTCAATCGGTTTGATTTTTTGGTTTTTTTTACTCACCCCTACTAAAAGATACATAATAAAGAAAACCCCATAACTTAATATAATATGTATAGGTTGGACCCATAGGATCAAAATGGACTGGGTCCCTAGAGGAGATCAGTGGTGGACTTTGGGCCTTCTTTATCCCCTATAAAATTTCTCCAATGAGTTTTCTCCTAAGATGTTGGGATGGGTCATGGAGTAGGCTACAACAAAAATTTAAGGCATAACTGAACACAAACAAATAACCCTCCTATCCCCATTTTCTTTCAAATAACGTGGGAACCATATAATTTTCACTTCCTATGTAATCTCACAAAGACAAAGTCAAATGTGAAGTAAAAACAAACCTTACATTCGGCCTATTCTTACTCTCATGCATTTATGCTCATGCAGATGTAATTTGCTGTGCAACCGAACTGAGCCTTATAAATGGATCGAGCTGGAATCTCCCTCAATGGAATTTGACTTTAGACAAATGAGTACCTGTTTAAAGCTTATACAATATGTATTTTTGTCTATAGAAATAATATCTATGTATACATCATTATATAAACCCATAAATAATAACTTTTTTATATTCATATAAATTTGTCATAAACAAGCAAAAGGAGTTATTAATTTTTAGCTTTTCCTTTATTTTAGAGACAGTAAAACAACTTCAATCTGATTCGGACCTTCCCAACCAGATTCTTCGTAAATAATTGTGTGATGATCATCAGATCGAACTCAATTCTCTCACTTAACCCGAATCTGATCCGGTTACAGCCATATTAGTTTCAACGTAGTAAAGTGCTTTCCCTTGTTTTTTCATTTTCGTGAGCTGGTTGCAATTAGTTCACCACTTTATTCTCAACTGATATTTAGGTTACAATAGCTGGAATTCAACATACATGAGGCTTGAGGTTCACTATATATAGTCTATAGGCAGAAGTCCACAAATCTGATCCTGGGTACACCATCCTAGATACTACGTACAATCCAGATGGATGGCACGGATCCGAATTGCTTAGGCATATAGTTTGCCTCAGGAAGCACCCTATCTATTCACCTTCTACTTTGCCTATATTCTGGTTCTTCCATGCAACACACCGACCTCTCAAAGCCTTTGAAAGGAGGATATTGCAACTCTATATATTTACTTCAATCGAAGATTAGAGGAGACACTACAAAAATCCCAGCTCTGATCTCATCAATCTCTCATTTCTTCCCACCTGCTTGATCAATCACCACTCATGGCTGAAGCACTTGTTTCCATTTTGTTGGGGGAAGTGGCCTCCATTATCCAACAAGGGATTCAAGAAGAAATAGGAGGATTACTTAATGCTAGAAAAGAGGTTGATAAGCTCTCTCATACACTCATGACCATAAAAGCTGTTCTTAACGAGGCTGAGGAGAAGCAAGTACAGGACAACTTAGTGAAGATCTGGCTGGAAAATCTCAAAGACATAGCTTATGAGGCGGACGATGTGTTAGACGAATGGACCACAAAAACTCTCATATTGAAAGAGGTACACACCACCAACTTTGTATCTTGTTGCTTTTGGTTCAAGAAAGTAGGTCTTCATCGTGGCATTCATCGTAGGATAAAGAATATAAATCAAAGATTTGATGAGATGTCAAGAAATAGAGATCAGTTAAACTTCCAAAGTAGTAGCGCTAGCAGCTTAATTTCAAGGGAACCTTCAATAAGTAGACTGCAAACGAGTTCTTTGATTGAGGAGTCCACCACATTCGGTCGTGATAAAGAAAAGGAAGTAATAGTGAGTCAATTAGTGAGTGAGAGCAGTCGGCAGGAGAAAAGCCTTATCCCCATCATCTCCATAATTGGAATGGGTGGCTTAGGCAAGACAACACTTGCCCAATCAATCTTCAATGATAAAAGTGCGGTGAACTATTTTGAGAATAGATTGTGGGTGTGTGTATCCGAACCTTTTGATAAGGTAAGGATTGCCAAAGAAATCATTAAAGCCATTAACAAGGATGCCAATATTGATAATGATATTTCATGGGAAGCTTTGCATAATAAGTTGAGCAGTTCCCTTGAACAAAAGCTCTATCTACTTGTTTTAGATGACATGCGGACAGAGGAAGTCTCCGATTGGGAACCACTGAAGCTTTCCCTCAATTGTGGTGCACAGGGAAGTAGAATTCTGGTCACCACACGCAATGGGAGGGTTGCAAAAATGCTGGGCACGACTTACCTCCATGATTTGGAGGTATTGTCTGATGAGGATTGTTGGTCATTGATGAGCCACATAGCATTTGCGGAGAGGACAGACGAAGAGCGTGAAATGTTGAAAGGAATTGGCATTGAAATTGCAAAGAAGTGCAAAGGCTTGCCTCTTTCTGCAAAGACCATAGGCAGTCTCTTACGCTTCAAGAAGCCAACAAAACAAGACTGGCAATTTGTCTTGGAGAGTAGCATTTGGGAATCAAAGGAAATTAAAACACATGTTTTACCATCTCTGTTGTTGAGTTATTATGATTTGCCCTCAGATTTGAAACAGTGCTTTGTATATTGTGCCATCTTTCCCAAAGATCAGTGGATAAACAAGGATAAGTTGATCAAGTTATGGATGTCACAAGGTTTCCTTATTGATAGTAGTAGTTCATCAGAAAAAACAATGGAGATGATAGGTGAAGAGCATTTTGATATTTTGGCCACACGATCATTTTTTCAAGACTTGAGAAAAGATGACGATGGCAATATTGATAAGTGCAAGATGCACGATTTGGTTCATGGTTTTGCTCAATTCCTCGCAAATAAGGAGTGTTGCATACTAAATATTAGTGATAATATTGCACAACAGTTGATATATAACAGGGCTCGCCATTTAACTTTGACACGAAATGATGATGATGATTCTGGTGTGGGTGAACGGATCATTCCTCCCCCTGTTTACAGAGCAACAAATTTAAGAACTCTCCAACTGATCCCATGGATGAAATCTGGATTTTCTGATATATTTCACCAGTTAACTTGTTTAAGGGCATTAAATTTGGAAAACACTCATATTGAAGGGCTACCAAGCAAGATAGAGAAATTGATACATCTAAGATACCTTAACTTGTCTTGGAATACAGAATTAAAAGAGTTGCCTGAAACAATTGGTAATCTGCATAATTTGCAGTCTTTGGAGCTGAATAGCTGTTGGAAACTTTGCAAACTTCCTGAAGGAATTGTGAAACTCACTAAAATGAGACATCTTGAAATTGAGGATACCGAAGAATTGCAATACCTACCACAAGGCATTGGTAGACTGGACTCCCTTTGCAGATTGCCCAAGTTTATCATAAGTGGCAACAGTGGTGGGAGGGGATGCACAATTAAGGAACTAAAAAATCTCAAGTTCCTCCAGGGAAAGATTGAAATAAGAGGATTAGGAAGACTAAAAGGTGAAAATGAGGCCAATGATGCAGCGCTTAAGAATAAGCAGCATATCCACACGCTGCATTTATATTTTGATGGAGATGATGGACAAGTAGTGGATAGAGTGGAGGAGAAGATGGACAGTATACTTGAGGGTCTCGAACCACACCAAAAGCTCGAGGGGTTGACATTAAATGGTTTCCTTGGAACTAAGTTAGCCAGTTGGATGGTGAGAGATGATGGGTTGCCCAATTTACGCTTTTTGAAATTAGGCGGATGCAAAAATTTAACCAAGTTGCCTCCTGCTCTTGGAAAGCTACCATCTCTTCAACGTTTATCCATAAGTGGTATGCATGAGATCAAATACATGTTTTCTGGAATCAATGAGGCCAATGCTTCTCAGAGTACTGATGGTGGGGCTAAGAAAGTATTCCCTGAGTTAATCCATCTTGACATCAATGATATGAAAAATTTGGAAGCTTGGGATCTTGATACGGAAGAAACAAATGAAAGACAAACTACTTCCATTACTTTGATGCCACGTCTTTCTGTGTTGTATGTTCACCATTGCCCCAAGTTAAAAGTTCTGCCTCGTCGCATCTTCCCTGCTGCTGAAGCATTAAGAATACTGAGTATATGGCATTGTCCTCAATTGACATGGACGTCATCCTCAAGTCTTCTGGAGCAGCTTGAGGAGTTGGAGTTACATGGTGATGCAGGTGCTTTTTCAAGGTCATTACCATCAAGTAACAAAATAAAGACATTGAAGATAAACTTTTCACCATTCGACTTGTTACCGGAAAGTTTAGAAAAATTCACAGCACTCGAAACCTTGTCGATTGGTAATTGCGACTCAATTGTGTCCATTCCAGAAGAGATGCAGCGTGTCACCTCACTACAGAAATTGGAGATCTATGGTTGCCCTCGACTGCAAGAAGGTTGCAAAGGGGAAGTAGGAGAAGACTGGAAGAAGATATGCCACGTCCCCCACATTAAAATCGGCCACAGAAGAATCAAATAAGAGAGAGGGATAAAGCAGCAAACCATACATGGAGATTGGAGCGCAACCAAAACACTACTGGTATTGCAATTACTTCTCTTTGAATTCAATAAATAGAATTTCATTTCAAGAGTTAAATCTTGTGTTTTTACAATTCTTTGAACTTTTTATTAAATCCCTCGGTCCATTCCCCTATTGTAGTTGTAATCGTTCTTGATTTCAAGTGTTTTTCAAATCATTGTTATTTGGTAATCAAGCGTTCAATTTTACATTAAACCAAGCAGTATTTATTTATTTTTGTTTGCCTATCAAATAAAACAAACGTTGGTTTTCTTATTATGAAATTCATTTTATTAGTTGATATAAAAAATCATTTTTTGAAAATCTTGTTTTGGACATTTTAACTAATTTAATCCAATTTACTAATTCATCTTTATTTCGTTAAATTATGTTCTTTTGGTCTTCTCTATTTTCAAGGTTATGTAGCTCATAAAATAAAATATGATGGTCATCTATTATTCAGAGCATCAAACTATGAAATGTTAATCGTAGGGTTCATTTATCACAGATTTAGGGCCCTCTAGAAAGAAACGCTTCCTGCAACACGAATGAGCATAAAGGACTGAACGTGCCAGCATGTACAGAGGTAAGGTCTTTGGACCATGAGGACTGAAACAGCCATCCTTCTTGTTGTAAACACTAAGTGTTGTTTGGCATCGATGCTGTTTTCTCTCGCATCAATGTCATGTCTAAAATCCATTTTTTTGGAGAATGCTTACATTGGAAATCAGGAAAGGTGTGGTCCGAGAAAAAATACCTTTTGATGTTTTCCCATTTTTTTTACTATTATTAGCAATGGTATTCTGATATGGTATTGAAAAATGCCTATGTGGCAACAATAGCAATGGTACCAAATAGAATACCTGAAAAAATATTTTCTAAGAACACAGCATGCTTGTGCAGCATCGTTTTCTGAGAAAACGGCTCTCAGCAAAATGCATCGATGCCAAACACTGCCTACATCTAACTTGGTCCAGGCTCATGTTGGCTTAGGCAACTCGAAGCCCATTTGGGAGGGCTGAGCTGAAGGTTCAGTTAGGCTGGTTGAGCCCTTTTGAAGTGTTCCAGATAAACCATTCAAAGAGTATGAAACTGATAGCCCTACAAATGATTGACTGACAGCCAATTTGGGCTCTCCAGATTTTTCACTAAACATAATTTATAATTTTACCTGGGCCTGCATTACATCCCTCCCAAACGGGCACTTAGGCTTGGGTGGTTTGGTGGCTTAGTTTGTATGTTAGCCAAGATGCGGGGTCCAATCCCATTGTCTTTAGGTTGGGGGTGTTATGGAAACGGTGATGATCAGCTAAGCATAGGGGTTGTATGATTACTTGAGTTATCAACCCAAGCCCAGCAGAGAAATTGTCAAATTGTCAAATTGTTGCTAAGGCTCAGCAGAGAAATTGTCAAATTTGTGGAGTATAAAACCTTGAATTTTATATTATTTTGAATGTATTTGCACTGTACATATTTGTATTTGTATTCCTTTCAAAGGCTCAGTTTGGAAAGAATACAAGTGCAAATATGTAGAGTGCAAAACCTTGTATTTTGTATGTAATTGTACTGTATATATTTGTATTTGTATTCTTTTCAATCTGAGCCTAAGGCTGTGTTTGGATGCAGTGCAATTTTATTTGCACTAGTACAAATGCATGGGAGTGAAAATGAAAAAAAAATGCAAATTTTCATTTAATTTTGTTTTAGGTCTTACTTTATTCTGCTGTATGTCTTAATTTACTTCATTTATATTGCAATCACACAAAATAAGCTAAAATTTGAAACAAAAATATGTCAGAATTTACACTTAAATCATTTGCACTGCCACAGCTTTGCATTAATGCAAATTTATTTGCATTGCAACCAAACACAGCCTAATGAGCATAAATCTCCTTGAAACAAAAAAGCAAGAGTTGTACATGCACAACCTGAGAATATGACTGAGAATATTTTTCTGTACTTGTATGTTAAATTCATTGGAATATATTCCCTATGTATAGTTGGAAGTCGTGCTGTCAATGTGTCTACACAATTTTTGCTTTCACCTGTCACATGGTAATGAGGCGAGAAATTGGTTTTTGTTGCTTATGTCATATGAACTATCAAAGCAATGCTTATTAAATATGCCCATAAAAGGCGGTGTTTGGTTGTAATGCAAATTTATTTACATCGATTCAAAACAATAGCAGTGCAAATGATTTGGGTGCAAATTTTAATTTATTTTTGTTTGATTGCAGTACAAATGAAGTAAAAGAAATCTAAAGCCAAATAAAGTCAAACCCAAAACAAAAATAAACCAGAATTTGAATTTTTTTTCATTTGCACCCCCAATATAGTTGTACTAGTGCAAATACAATTGAACTGTAACAAAATGCAAGCAAGACTCAGTTTAGAAAGATTACAAATACAAATACATATAATACAAATACAAGGTTTAGAAATATTGCCTACATGTTTGCATTTGCACTACAGGCTACTAAACCCCATCGAGAGTCATAACCCGTTTTACACTCCTTGTTTGTATTTGCATTTCTCTATCTCTATGTAAGAGGATAACGGTATGGATGATTTTACAATGCAGATCATTTCAGTTGTTGAAGAGTGGCAGAATGACTAGACTTGCTCACATTACAGCTAAGAAGCGAGAGATGAGAGATGGCTATGTGGAGACTAATTAATAAGTTTTGGGAACCTAATGGGTAAAAAGATCAGTTGACTCTGCTATACTTACTACTATTGATGGATCATTTAGCTATTTCTCTTATAAAGAGATTGGGTTGTAGTAATAATATGTCTCCAATGATATAGAAAAATTAGGAAATTATTATTTATACATCAAGCACAAGGAGACTTAAGGCAATTAGCTGCTCCTGGTTTCTTTAGAGCTATTTGTGATGTAGCATGACGCATTCGACCGGGCTGATTTCACAAGCACCGGGATGGTGGATCGGCTTCGGTCTTGAAGCCTTACGAAAACTAAGCATAGCCGTAGTAGAGAGAGAAAAGGTGGCGAAGAAAATTCTTATGTCTATGTCTATTAAACTTATAACAGAAGTATTTATAATACATACTGGTAGACTTGTACAATAACTAGGTAAGTTAAACTTGTAAAACAACTAAAACAACTAGGAGTTGGTCTTCTAAACATTTCGAATTCTTCTTTAGGATGCTTTTAACGTCCACCGTCCGATAGCCACCCTCATCCAATGCATGTTGGATACGTGAGCTGTCGCCATTATCCGCTGAATGCATCTCTCTAGACATCATTATCCGATGCATGTTTCTCTCTAGATGTGAGCTGTCGTCAGCTGGTTCGGTGGGTCGTGAGCTGGCCCTCCATCATTCTCCCCCACTTGAAAAGCACTCGACTCCGAGTCATGATCGGGATATGCAAGTGTCGCTTCCGATAAATAACGATAAAGATCAGCAACATTAAATGTTTTGGAAATACCCATGTGATCTGGCAAGTCCACCATGTAAACATTGTCATTGATCTTCTTAAGGATCTTGTATAGGCCGTATTTCCGAGCTGGTCCTCCATCAATTTGGTTCACCTATAGTTTTATATTTGGTTTCCCTCATGTATTTGGTATTTAAAATCAAATTTCTCCTCAGTAAATAGTACGTCTTGAGACAAGTGGAAATATGTATTATTTTTTATAGCTATTCAATCATATATTGAATTTGTATTGAAATCCTAAAGACCTGAATGGAATCTGATGAGTTTGATGAAATGCATGCATGTTGCACCCAAATGGTCAAAACTAAGTTTTGGAACCATTAAAGATAATTTAACTTCATGGTGTAAGTGGAGCTGATATTATGATGACTAGTATTAATATAAGATTGTGTTTGGTTTGAAGTAGGGAAAGAAAGGGAAACTTTTACAAACCTTGTATAAGTTTGTCTGCCTTTTCTTTCTTTTCCCTACCTTTTCCCTTCAAACCAAACATAGCCTAAGAGGTCATGTAAGTCAATGCATCTACTATCAAGCCATCTATCAGGCTTTTTCTCTGCATCATGGTATCTGGAATTAATTTGTGGTTGGTAATTTATTTGCAATGCAAATCTGAACCTGCTATAAATTTTGCACCTGGTTAAGTTTTTTTTATCCATTAATTTGTAATTATGATTTGCACTCTTATCTAAAATAAAATTTGTACCTTTTATTTCATTTGCATTTATTGGCAAATGCCAAAAACTAATGCAAAATTTACACCACCATTCTTGCCTTACTCAAAGTGGGAATAGCATCATCTTCTAACTAGCTTATTATCAAATTGTTGCACAAAAATCCAGAAATATATGTAGATTTGAAGGTACAAAAGTAATGGAGTAAAATAGGGGTAAAGAGAAATAGAACAGAGCACACAATTTTACATGTGGTTCCACTTGTAGCTTATGACCAGGGCGGAGTTAGGAAATTTTCATGAGAGATATATGACACTAGTGGAGGATTTATGGACCATAGGGGGAGGGCAGCATGGCACCCCCTAGCTCCGCCCCTATTTATTCTTGAACTCGCATTGTCTGTCCGTAGGGGATAAAAAATTTTCTGTCCCAACCAATCTAATTGGAACACATCGCCTTCACACCCGAATTTGAAACTGACAGCTAACGACAAGATGGACGCCAAAAGTTATGAAAAACAATTATGTGAAGCCAAATATCCTCTCCACTGCGAGCTGCTCTCTTTCCCTCCCTCCCCACCGCCCCCATCACCCTCACCAAAATCAATAGCATGAGAAACCCCTTCACCATAGTCATCTTGCCGTAAAAACCCTGCAACCATCTGTCATCTTGCCGTTGAAACTTGTCAACTGAGCTGGGTCCCGGAGTAAAAGACGACCCTATAACCCGAGCTCCACCGCCACTGCCATCTTGTCATTGAAACTTGTCAACTGAGCTGGGTCTCGGAGTAAAAGACGACCCTGCAACCCAAGCTCCATCGCCCTTTCCAT